CTATGTACAGCATCTGGAAATGCCGCTTGTGCAAAGTTCTTTGCAGATCAAAAATAGAAGGGAGAGAGCAGCTTTTCCTAGGGACCAAGGCGAATCTCAGCTTTAGCACTATTTGAATGAGTGCCGCACCACCACTTTAATTTGCTTTTGAAGTATGTGGCGAGGACAAAGCCCAATTAACTGTGTGTCTTGTTCTTGCTAAAACAATGCAGACAAGAGAGAGTTTGTATGTGTGTGTGAATAGAAATCATGTTCCATTCATTTGCTCTATGGACTGCAAACAGGGATCTCAGCAGGTCTTGCTTCAGGCTGAGATGCTCCATTTCAGCCAAGGAAGAGTTAACTCCACTCTCATTCTGTTCATAGGAGAGAAAACAAAGCAGCTAATCATCTAGAGGACATACACACAGTATGTGGAAGCTCAAATCATGAGACGGATAAGTGTTCTTTAACCCTTCCCCTTTCTTCCATGGGGACTGAGGATCTGTAAGCATATGTGAAAAGGTTTGCCCACCCTGAGCGAGAGCAGTATTTCCTGCCATCGTTCTGAATTGGCTATGTAATACGATCATAAAGGTAAAGGTAAAGGGTATCCCTGACCATTAGGTCCAGTTGTGGACGACTCTGGGGTTGCGGCGCTCATTTTGCTCTATAGGCCGAGGGAGCTGGTGTTTGTCCACAGACAGCTTTCGGGTCATGTGGCCAGCATGACTCTGGCGAACCAGAGCGTGATCATGTCATACAATCATGGCAATGCTCAAATTATGGTCTGTATGTAGGAAGGAAGGAGAGCCTCAGATCAAAATGTACAATCCCCACCCCTGATTCTTCTAAAAGTTCTAGCCAAATTATGGCCACCGTAGCTGTTAAGTTGTGGGTGAACATATCAGACGACACATCGATTCTCCAAACAGCTCTTGTTTATTCACAGGCCAGAACAGGACTGAACTGAAGGGTTCAGCCAGCCTGCTTATATAGAGCTCCAGTACAACGTAACTGTAACAACTTTCTGCAACTATCCAATCACTGAACATCACTTTCGATCCCTTATTTACATATGTGGACCTGAACTATCTACAGTATCCCCCTGCTGGCCCAGGGTGAGAACTTCAGTACATAACAGTAGCCTTCTCAAAATAATAACTAGGAAGAAAAGCATGGGGGGGGCAGGCGTGTGGACCTTCTGTGGCCTTCCGATAATTCAAGCAATGATGTGTCATGACGACATCACCACATTTGCAGTAGGATCCCTAATCACACTCCCAGCAAGAAGTTTGCAGGAGGTGTAGATGGCTGTGAAACAGAAACCAGGGAGGGTATGGTAAATATGTGTTTAAATAGTGACCATGGGGAAATGGAAGAATGTTTTGGGTTCCTTGGAAAACCCATCTCCCACAAAAAGGTTAGCTTTTGAACTTGCAGTACACCTGCTTCTTAGACCATTTTTGTGCATGATACTCAAAAACACACAGGCGTTTCTCTCTCATGACTTGAGCCATGCATCAACATTGTTAATGTGGAATTGACACCACGTTGCATTTCCACCCCCTGTGTTTGGCTTCGTTTCATAGCCCGATCTCTCCATATAATTTTCTCTCGCTGTTAAGCTTCCCTCCCTCCATATGTGTTCTTCCTCCGTTGGATTTTGGTTTCTCAATTGTAAAATGAAAACACTTCAGGGAAAAGCGTGAAGTGCAACTGAGAACAGGAAGAGAACAATTCTGAACGAGCGTGTACACATTGTAGAGAATGTAGGTTTCACATTTGCATTGCCAGCTGATTTAAGCATAGAAATTCACAAAATCCTGTGTGTGTGTGTGTGTGTGTGTGATGTCTGGTTTAGAAAATCTTAACAACAGGAGTCAGATCTGTCTGGGGAGCTGTGAAGATCTACTAAATATTTTGGAAAGTTGTTTGTCTGTTTGCTAGACATTCGGAAACAACTTTTGCACAATACAGTGGTACCTCGGGTTAAGTACTTAATTCGTTCCGGAGGTCCGTACTTAACCTGAAACTGTTCTTAACCTGAGGCACCACTTTAGCTAATGGGGCCTCCCGCTGCTGCCGTGCCGCCGGAGCCCGATTTCTGCTCTCATCCTGAAGCAAAGTTCTTAGCCTGAAGCCCTATTTCTTGGTTAGCGGAGTCTGTAACCTGAAGCGTATGTAACCCGAGGTACCACTGTAGTTCCTGAGATCGAGGAGCAGGTTTTCATCTGTGTTTGGATACAATTGAATTGGATGTACCATTTGGGGTTTCCAGTCTGGGGAAAAGGTGGGATGTAAGTATCATAATAATAATAATAATAATAATAATAATATTGAATCAAGATGGTGGACCAAACCTATCAAAACTACACTGATTTTAATCACAAACTTTTGTTTTTTTTTTAAAATTCCTGAGCAGCTCCAGACTCCAGGCTGTGCGCTATTCAATAAAGGGAGGCTGGGGAAAGGGCAATCTTTTCTTCCTGGGAAGAGCCTTTCACAGCCCGTGCAAGCGGTGGCTTTTGCATTCAGCTGAATTCCTGCCTGGTAACAATGAGAGAACAGATAAGGGCTGCAAATGATACAAAGTGAAAGCCTCCAACAGAGCAACTGTCCTTGTGTTTGAAAAAGCTGCAGCCAGATCATGACCCCTGGGAGATGTTCCCTTCTTTGCAGCCAGAGTTTTCTCTTGTTCTGCGTTTACTAAGCAGCAGCTGCTGGAAGCCATGACACCAAGTGCCTCTCTCTCAACTGACTGGCATTCTAGGAAGAAAGAATGAACTGAGAGAGCCCCCGGCGATGCAATTCAATCTTTTGAAAATTATCTTCTACGTATATATTTTGGGAAGTGGTTTCTTTGTCCATCTGCCCGTCCATCTGTCTGTCTGTCTGTCTGTCTGTCTGTGCTCTATAGGTTCGGATGCCTCTCAAGATATCCTTGCCATGAAGGTTCCTGAGGTGGGGGGTGGCAGCCTTCACAGACGTTGGTATGCCAAGCAGGAATTTGGTGTGAACTTGGCTGTTTTGTGCATGTGACAGTCTTGGGAGGTTGCTGCATGATTCAGGGGCGCCTAATGTTGCGGGTTCTGGGGACAGTCCAAGTGTGTGCATGTGTGTGTGTGAGGGGGTTTCTCTCCACCTGCTCTCTCACCTCTCTGGTCACCATGGCGAGAGCTGAGAGCCCCAACTTCCTCTCCATGGTTGTCAGAGGCCATCTCTGATGCTTCCAGTGTGGAAGAGAGCCAGTGTGGTGTAGGGTTTAAGAGCGGTAGACTCGTAATCTGGTGAACCGGGTTCGCTTCCCCGCTCCTCCACATGCAGCTGCTGGGTGACCTTGGGCTAGTCACACTTCTCTGAAGTCTCTCAGCCTCAACTTTGCTGCTTTTTGCAGGTGGTGATGATGTTTGCATGCACACCACACTTTCAAACCACATGGCTTCCCCGAAAGAATCCTGGAAATTCTGTAGTTTACAAAACTACAGCTCCCTGCACCCTTAACAAACTAGTTTCAGGATTTCTTGGGGACAGCCACGTGCTTTAACAGTCAAACTGGAGAGCCACTGTGGTGTAGTGGTTAAGAGTGGTAGACTCGTAATCTGGTGAACTGGGTTCGCTTCCCCGCTCCTCCACATGCAGCTGCTGGGTGACCTTGGGCTAGTCACACTTCTCTGAAGTCTCTCAGTCCCACTCACCTCACAGAGTGTTTGTTGTGGGGGAGGAAGGGGAAGGAGAATGTTAGCTGCTTTGAGACTCCTTAGGGTAGTGATAAAGTGGGATATCAAATCCAAACTTTTCTACTCTTCTTCTTCTTCCATTGTGTCCATCACACTACCTACTCCATCTTCAGAGTTGTCAGATACTGCTGCCCTACAGCTCCAGAGAGAGGTGTCCTGTCCTCGTCTCAAGAGGCAGTGATATCCCATCACCTGGATCCCAGAGACACCAATGGAGATGTGGACAGATGGGGCAGCTTCCACCCTCCAGGAGGAGTGCCAGATTGCTTGCGAAGGGACAGAACCGCTTGCCACACTAAGTTGTGCCTGCCCCATTTCCTTATAACAGAATTGTATGGGCATGCCATTGTTGGATCAACGTCTTCACTTGAATAGCCAGCGAGCCTTTGTGCATCTGTGTTTACTCTGAGTAGAACGTAGGTGGCTACAACCCTGAGGCTTAGAGAACACTGGGTGGCTTGCGTCAATGGTAGAAAATGACCCAGAGTTGGTAGCACTTACACTCCACAAAATAAATAAGCTTAAGTGCATCTAATGGAATTTGCCACAGTATGATCACAACTTAGGCATGCTTAACATGTGCGATTTGAACTTCATGCAATTGAAGACTGGCTGGTTGAAATAACACAAATTAAAAGCACAGAAGGTGGAGAGCTTAAAAGCTTAATAAAAATAATAATTAATCATCATCATCATCATCATCATCATCATCATCATAATTTATTACTTATACCCCGCCCATCTGGCCAGGCCTCCGCAGCCACTCTGGGTGGCTTCCAACAGAATTTTTTAAAAAAATAAAATAAAACACCAAACATTAAAAAGCTCCCTAAACAGGGCTGCCTTCAGATGTCTTCTAAAAGTCAGATAGTTGTTTATTTCCTTGACATCTGATGGGAGGGCGTTGCACAGGGTGGCCGCCACTACTGAGAAGGCCCTCTGCCTGGTCCCCTGTAACCTCACTTTTCGCAGTGAGGGAACTGCCAGGGTTTTCCTGGCATGGAAAGAGCTTTTAAGCTCTCCACCTTTCTTAGCAATCACAAGATCATGCAGGAACTTGGACAGCGCTGTGAGATCTCATGAAAACATCCCAAAGCCCTGTGGGAGAGCTGATTCATTGCTTACCTGGGAATTAACTGGGGCTTTCTGGCTCATGGTTCGCACTGTTCAGGATAAGAACCTAGGAAAAACCCCTCAGCAGTTATGAAGCTGCTTTATTGGTCCATCTAGCTCAGTATTGTCTCTACAGGATTACAGGTCAGGTTCTCTCCCAACCCTACCTGGAGATGCTGGGGATTGAACCTAGGACCTTGTGCATGCAAGACAGATGTGCTACCACTGAGCTATGACTCTTCCTTGTTGGAATGTTGCCGTCAGCTGATTGTAGCATAGCAGTGTCTTAGTAGCTATGGGTTAGGGTCATAGTATGGAGGGAACCTCCCTAACCTTTTGGCTGTCATATTGTATGTGGAAGGCATGCATTGGGTGAAAACTGTACCTTTTCAGGGAAGGAGGGTGGTAGCGGAATGGGATGTCAAAGTTCACCAGCAACAGAACAATGGAATGTGAAAAGATGCAAATTAATCTCTGATTGCACCAACTTTCTGATTGTGTCCTGATAGGGTTTTTGTTTTATTTCGCCCCTCTCTTGTGTCTCTCTCAAGTAAAACAAGAACAATCTGAATCAGGTCTTTTTCCTGAAGTGCTGATGCCTCCAATAATTAAAACAATCGCTTGGTTAATCTGAAACTGACAAAAGCCAGATTGTCTGGTGCTTGCGAATAAAGTCTGTAAAGGAAATGTCACAGATTAAGCAAATCTCATTTTAAGCAAGCAAAAGAAAGAGGTGGCACTGTTTATGAAACCGGAGCCAGGAAAATACAATAATCAAGGGTGGGGGAGGGGGGTTTAGTGGAGAAACAGGTCATATGGAAAACCATATCTAAGTTGACAATCTTTCACGAAGATATGAGTTCACATTCATTATGCATTATATTTTCATACAAAAGCTTTCTTGTTAGCCTTTGTGCATCATCATTAAAAAAAATTAAAGAGATGGGAATGCTTTCAAAAGGAGTATTTCATGAAAAAAAGAAAAAGAAAAAGTCAACCAGGAGAACACAGATGTATTTCATCAGACTCTGTTTGATATAAAGGTTGAATGAAGCTGCAGGGAAGGGAAACTACATTTAATTATTTTATAATTTTGCCATAAATGGGAATCCTTGAAAGCCACTGGCTGGAAGGTTTGCAGAGCGAGAAGGCGCAGGAGCTGATCATGCAACTCGGAGCTGCCGTTTATTATTGTTTAAAAGCCGCCACAGCTCAGCTCTATCCAAGCACACGTGTGTTTGGAGGGCAGGGCTTTAGATAAGTTGTGGCTTGGAGGGCATCATACTAAAGGATGGGTTCGCCTACTTTTAAAACAAGTATCTGAAAAGATAGTGCACACTGTGGTACATATAGCACGCAGAGTTTATTAGTAGCAGTGATTGTGGCAGCAGTAATTTTTTATTGCAAACTTTGTGCAAACAAATCAGGATGAGTGTTGAGTAAACATGTGGTCTGGAAGTGACCTTTCCTCAATCCTGCCTTCTCGTTTGCCCTTTGGTCTTGGGGAAGAGCTATAGCTTAGTGGGAGAACACCTGCTTTGCATGCAGAAGGTCCCAAGTTTGAGTCCTAGAAGCTCCTGGGTGGGCTGAGAATGTCCCTGCCTAAAATACTGGAGAGTGTAGACAATACTACATTGGCCAATGGTCTGACTCAGTATAAGACAGCTTCCTGTGTTCCTATGAACACTTTATTGCCCAGGGGTAGGGATGAGCGAGTCTGTCGATTTTGGTTTCTCTGAGTTTCTCATTTTTCCAGTCCTAAGTTCAGTTTCACACATTTCTACATCAGTTTGTGCTTTCTAATTAAAAGTTCCTCATTAAAAACCAGCATTTAATTCCTCCTATGTGTTTTTTCTATGCAGCATTGTCTAATATACAGATTTTGGCAAAGCAATTTCCCACTATATAATGCATTATTGTATGTTATTTTCACAAACGTATGCATTCATATGCAGACATTAACATATTGTATGTATTTTTGCACCTGCTGGAGAACCACATTGCAAAATTCAGAGAAGCGTGAATTTTGAAGGCATGGCAAATGCGAATTGGGTACCTTTACCTTTCAAATGCAAATAGAATGTAATTTCTCCCCTGTCCCTCATCAGGGGTCACTCTGACTTGTAACTCTGATGACCTGCCACTAGGGGCAACAGCGGCACACAAATCCAGTGGTTCCCAATGCACATATTCTATGCCCCAACCCTGGATTCCCAGGCTGACTTTGGAACCATGAGGCCAGGACTGGAGCACCTTGAGTCTGCCTCAAATGGGAGAGTCTGTGACCGCTGTCTTGCAAAGGGAACTTTCCAAAGGAAGATGTGCATTCATGCTGCTCGTTGGGGGGTGGGCAAGTAAAAATAACTTGGTGTGGAATGGCTGGTTCCTCCAAGTTCCTTTCCTCCTTGCATGTAAATGATTAATGGAGGATATTGTGGAAGCAGATGTACTGTTGCCACAGTAACCGAGGTGAATAGCGAGAAAGGCACAAGCTGAATACTGAGGTGGTGTTCCTACCGCGCGGCACAGCTATTTTAGCCATCCCGAGATCCTGGTTAATTATTAACACCTAGCAAGTCTTCGCCCAGAAAAGCATCGATAAGCAAGGCCAATTATATAAACACCACAACAGTATCTTTTGCAGTTTGGTTCTCAGATCCTCCCGCACCACTATGGAATCGGATACGGTCCTTTAATCCCATCTAGTCCGCCCTCACCTCACGGTTAGTTGCGGTAACCTGCCCGTGCCTTTGCTGTTTCAAAGAATGATAACAAAAGGTAGAAGACAGGGTGCTTTGTCATTTTTCACCGTCTAAATGGGGAGGGCCAGTTCCAGTCAGCAGGAGATGCCTGTAACAGCAGCAACAACAACAACAGCACCCTGCCCATCTGGCTGGGTTGCCACAGCCACTCTGAGCAGCTTCCAACATACATAAAAACTTAATAAAATGTCAAACATTAAAAACTTCCCAATACAGGGCTGCCTTCAGTTGTCTTGCAAAAGTTGTGTAGTTCTTTATCTCCTTGACATCTGATGGGAAGGCATTCCACAGGGCGGGCACCACTGCCGAGAAGGCCCTCTGCCTGGTTCCCTGTAATTTGGCTTCTCGCAGTGAGGGAACTGTCAGAAGGCCCTCGGAGCTGGACCTCAGTGGCTGGACTGAATAAATTCTGAGTTAAATTCTTTCAAGAGGTGACTGGTGTATGAAGCAGGTATTAAGTGAGTCGAGCCAAGAATCATTGGGCTGAAAGGACAGCTCACTCTGGTGAGAGGTGAACTTTTGTCAAGCAGATGCTTTGCCCTGATTTAGCTCTTCTTGACAGAGATTTTAAAAAAGGTATTGGTCTTCTTAAATCCATTGAGTGGGCGGGGAAGAAGTGTAGCTTATTTGATTTCCTCATCAGCCTCCCAGCTTTCTTCTGGTCTACCAATGGAGAATTGCAGGGTAATCTGCTATTCCTGAGAATTTTTGCTTTAAATTGGCCCTACTGTTTTAAATTATTTGTATGTTTTATTTGTGATATTTCTACCCGGCTTTTCAACCCCATGTGGGTTCACAGAGCGTCTTACAGGAATAAAAACCTATAATTGGGAATGAGTCGTATTAGAATGAAAAATTTCTAAGCCCAGGAATTTGTTTTGTGTACCAGAACCAAACTGATTTCACAGCCTTCCCACACTAAAACCCACATTGAGTTGACTATCACCACCACATCTTTTCAACATTGTGTGTGTGTTTGGGGTGGGGGGAATCATTTTATCGTTGAAACTGTTAAGTAATTAGCAATCACAAATTCTTGATGATATACCTGAAAAATCCAGAGATCTACCAGAAGACACTCATCAACTTTCTGCCCAACCCGGCCTATGTTCCTAATCATATCCACAAAACTCAATAAAGTCTAAGCTATAGCGAAAAAAAGGTAAACAGTCACAAATTCATGCAGGACCAGCACTATTGTTAGGCATTGTGAGGTGGCTGCCTCAGGCGGTGGATGCTGGGGGCAGACAATGACACTGAGGTGTGGAAAGACAGAGCTGTGAATGTCACACAGCGTGTCTTGTGCCCCTTAAATTAGCCTGTTGCTCTCATGCTTGGGTGGAGAACTTTGTGGATGCATGCAATAGGTTCCTTCCTTCCTTTCTAGTTTATAACCCCATCAATCCTCTTACTGGGCCCATCAGTGGTGTAGAGATATCCACTAGCCATAGGCTCCTGATTAAAGGCAGAAGGGAGCCAATTACTCTATTTTGTCCTGCTGCTACTGCAAGGTAATCCCTGCCAGTGACTTACAAGGAACTGCTTTGCCTCAGGGCTGCTGCAGGTGAGATCTTACAGCCTGCAGCTGAGTCGTCAGATTCTTTTTATTATTATTAAAAAGCCATTCTCTGTAAACTCTGCTAATGAAGCTCCAGGTACCCCTCTACCTGCCAATCCAATGTCCCAGCATACCGTATCCAGACGGCAACACTGTTTTTTGAGCCACAAAGGGAACACAACAGCACAGCATGTGCAAATGTTTATTGCTAATGAATTCTTGGGGTGTTCATATTCACCTTGCGGCAGACTGGACATGATGTGTTACTGGCACATGTCCCTGGAAACCTTCTGGGTGTTGACCCACTATTCTGTCCTGCCTGAGATTCAGGGCAAGAAGTTGCCATGTACATACAATCATAGAATTGTAAAGTTGAAAGGTACCCAAGAATCCTCTAGTCCAATGCAGGAATCTCAGCTAAAGCATCCAAGACAGATGGCCATCCAACCTCTGCTTCGAAACCTCCAAGGACTGGACTGGCAGCTGAATTTTATTCCACCTGAAGCTTTGGGAGAGCAGGCCAGCTTCCAGAGTTGCATGCAGAGCTCCACCAGCGGTTAATGGAGGGGGCTCAGAAGGACCAGTTGGGTGGCTGATGTTTGTGTCCTCCAGCATCTGCCACCTGAGGCAGTTGCTTCACTCTGGCATTGCTTGCTTGCTTGCTTATCTAATTAGCTGATATACAGCTGTTTGTCAGAAGTGAGCTCAAAGTGGCTCACACTTACAGTGGTGGTGCAGTACTTAAGAGGGTTGGACTAGGATCTGGGAGACCAGGGTTTGATTCCCCACTCGGCCATGAAGCTCACTGGGTCATAGAATCATAGAATCATAGAGTTGGAAGAGACCACAAGGGCCATCGAGTCCAACCCCCTGCCAAGCAGGAAACACCATCAGAGCACTCCTGACATATGGTTGTCAAGCCTCTGCTTAAAGACCTCCAAAGAAGGGGACTCCACCACACTCCTTGGCAGCAAATTCCACTGTCGAACAGCTCTTACTGGCAGTGACCTTGGGCCAGTCACTGCCTCTCAACCTAACCTTCCTCACAGGGTTTTTCTGGGGATTAAATGAGGAGCAGGAGAACTATGTGAGACACCTTGAGCTGCATGGAGAAAAAGGTGAGATATAACTGCAACAAATACAAAGGAATTAATAAATACAAGTTAGCAAATCACATCATTTCAAACGGTAAAATATACAGTGGTACCTTGGGTTACATACGCTTCAGGTTACATATGCTTCAGGTTACAGACTCCACTAACCCAAAAATAGTGCTTCAGGTTAAGAACTTTGCTTCAGGATAAGAACAGAAATCGGGCTCCAGCGGCGCGGCAGCAGCAGGAGGCCCCATTAGCTATAGTGGTGCTTCAGGTTAAGAACAGTTTCAGGTTAAGAACGGACCTCCGGAACGAATTAAGTACTTAACCCGAGGTACCACTGTAGTTGCAATATCAATAAAATACAAGTAGTGTCAGCATCACTCATAAAATAACAAAAACAGACTCAAGCATAGGCGGTAATTCTATAGGGCTTCACCCCCCCCCGGAAGTCTCTTGGGATGGGGCTGAGTCCCTCCAATCTTGAGGGGCTGGGCCTCATGGCGGTGGGCCTCACAGAGCCTCACCAGGCCTTGCTGCGGTGGTGGTGGGCCTCGCAGGGCCTTGTGATGTGTGTTGAGATTTGTGTGATGTCAAATGTGTGCCTCTTGTATGTGATGTCATGTGTGTTGGTTGGAAGGGTCAAAAACTATGCTAGCCACCAAAAGCTAAGAAGCAGCGCACACACAGACAAGGAAACATTCATTAAACTCCCAAGAAACTTGTGGCCTTCTATGCCTCCATAAGGAAGTTATTCTGTCACTATCATTCTAGAGGCAATTGGTCCCTCCTGTCCTCCATCTCCATTCACACCATGCATGGATTGATGCCCTGCTAATGTCCTCTCCATCTTATGTTCCAATTGCATGCCTTTGGCTCATGCCCTTGCCAAGCACCAGCTTTCTGTAATACCTTTACTTCTTTCACAAATATGAGGGAATAACAAGTCTCACCCTGGCAAATATAAGACACACTGGAACACCAGCTAAGCCAATGGACATGTCATCTTCTACAATGTCAGAAAGTTGGAACATTGTCCAGGTAGCTAATGGTAGGGTTGGCCCTGTACAACTGTTGTCTTAACTTATACCTGAAGTAGCCCCTCCACCACCATCGTTCTGCCCGGACACTGAGGTCCAGCGCCGAGGGCCTTCTGGTGGTT